CCCCTCCCCGCCTCTGCCCCTCATCAGGTCTGGGGGGTCCTGAGAGTGGGAACGCGAGGAAGGCTTGCGATGGTCTCGAGACCTGCCGGCAGGAATCCCCCCCCCACCTCCCCTTCGAGATGATCTCTCCAGCACAAGACTCCGACCGCGCCTATTTGAATGCAGCCAGAAGGTGCTTCAGGTGGGAAGGCCAGAGCGAGGCGGGGGTAAAAAGGATCGGGGCCTCCTGGAGGCCGGGCATTCCTGGCACGGCCACAACTCAGAAGCCCTTCGGCGCCACGGAGTAATGCGGGGGCAGGAAGCTCCTGCCTGGCAGTTCCCCCCTTTTTCAATATACACTCTGAACCTTTCTTGGGCAAAGTTAAAAGCTAAAAAGGAGCCAGCGTCCCAATCCGGATCTTTCAGTAAAACTGCAAAATCCTTCTTTCCCCAAATAAATAAGACCAAAAGGAACTCTTTTGTCCTATCGTGGCCCCAAGGACAGAAAAGGCGACGGCAAACAGAACATATGGAAGGAAAGAGGACAAGGGAAGAAGGGAAGCCTGGCTCTCTGCTAGAGGCTTGCAAATTTTGCACATCAAGGTAACAGGCAGAAAGGGCTAACACAATCTGATTCCGGGATTTTAAAAACATCTCTGTGGACTTTGTGTCCATGGAACGATGTCACCGAATAAATGAGTTTGGAGGAGACTCGTGCTGTCAATCACTATCTGACTTTGTCAAAACTACAAAATAATGTAAGCAAAAAATCACCAGAACAGTCTGTCTGGATCAAACTGGTCTTCTGGATGAAGGATTTGTTTCTTTTGTGGCCGGCCTCTTCAGAGGACAGGAGTCAGAACTCTGTCTGTGCTCTGGTGCGGTTTTGTGGGATAGTTGAGCCTTTATAGCTGTGGGATCAGCTTTTGTCCTTTTCAGGAGATTGGGTGATTATATAAATACTATAAATACTTTATTATCTCACAAAACTGCACCAGAGCACAGACAGAGTTCCGACTCCTGTCCTCTGAAGATGCCCATGGCCACAGAGAGACTGGCGAAATGTTAGGAAGAACAACCTTCAGAACACGGCCAAAGAGCCCGAAAGGGGTGGGTTGGAGAGAGTGTATACGTAGCTGCAACCAGCGGGAGAGGGAAAGCGGTCTCAGTTGGCCAGGGAAGAAAAAAAGGGGGAGAGGAGCTGAGTTGTTCTCCAGACAGATGGACCAAAGGCAATGGCGGCCGAATCAAGAGCCAGAGAGACAGTCCGGAGGTTGCCATCACTCTCAAGGCAAAGCTGAAGAAGGTGGTCTCCAGAAGGAGTGAGGAAGACTCCCCCCACCCCCCACCCCACCGATGCCCGGCAGCCTTTGGGAAGGGTGGGGGCTTGAGGGGTGGGTGCCTGGTGGCAAACGTTGGAGAAAACAACTGCTGGCCTGGAGGAAGACTTCAGGGAGAAGCCACGACAACCAACTGGGGGTGGGGGTGAGGGGGGTGCACGCCATGTGGTTTACAAGGCTGGGATCACAGAGAGCAGAAAAGACCCCATCGTACCAAGCTTCCACTCAGAGATGCAGGATCCATCACTACCAACTGCATGCCCCATCATCATCATCCATCACCATTGGCTATGCTGACACTCCGGGCTTCACCATCACCTGTCCTGGGACTCTGGGGGGTTTTATATCCTTGCACGCTGTCTGTGGCTTGAGCAGTTGGGAGGGGCCTTTCTGGGCCGGGGTGACTCCCTTTCTATCCAGCACTAACCAATAGTTCCTTCCCTGCCTCTAAATTCAAAGGAAGGCCTGCCTGTTCGCTGACTGTTGTTTTCTTTCTCTTCAGTCTGCTGATGTCAGTCTGTTCGTTTGCTGTTGTTTACAGCTGTAAGTAATGAAACATTTTCATTCTTTCTCCTACCAATGTCTCAGATTGAGTTACTGAGACTGTAAGTGCCAGTTAATGAGAAAAGGGGGTGAACTATCTGTGGAACTTGAAGCTATTCTCCTCTGTAAGCCTCTGTAATTCTCCTGGGCAGCAGAGGGGTTTCTAAGCAGAAACGAACAACTCTGCAACTCTAAGGAGCAATGCGTATCCCAGCAGGGTCCCTCGTCCGACCTGGGGCCACTCACCTTTCCTCCGGCCCTCCTCAAACTCCCGCCTGGCAGTGTCGATGTACCGTTGCACCAAGGCCTTGAGCACCTGCCGCCGGTAGGAGAGGCGGCTCTCGGCACGCAGGCTCCCCTCTTCCAGGGAGGGGTTCGACTGTGGGGAGAGGCGGGAGAGCAGAGTCACTGAGCTGGCAGGGCTCCACCCTCAAATGAGCAGAGCCAGGGTGACCCGCAACGAGCCCTGGGAGACTTTATCTAAAGGTCCCCTTTCCGTCCCACAAAGCCGCAAAACACCCACACACACACACACAAACACATGTTAGGAAAGGCAGGACTTGGCAGCCGAGGCCCAGTGCACAAACGGTATGGCAGAGGCACTCACGATGGTGTGGATCGGAGGGTACTTCTGCTGTCTTTTGGGTCGGTAGCAGCACAAGAAGCGAACGAGGCCCCTGTGGAACGCAGAAGGCAGGAGGGTTAGCAGAGACCCAGGCCGGCCCCTCTCTGAGAAGAGTGTAATGAACAAGGGGCTGGTGCAGGTGGAGTGATGGAGTCACTGCCTACAGGACAAGAAGGACACGGCCGGGTGAAAGTAACGACCACGAGGTGAACCATTCATTTGATGGGTTGGAGGCCGTATCAATTAAGAGGCTGGTGAGGGCGCCCTTCACGGTTCTATTTTGATCATCAGGCTGACATTCTGTCTGTTTGACGGCTGAATGCCTATGTCTATGTTCCTATGCTGTTTAGTCATTAAGTCGTGTCTGACTCTTCGTAACCCCCGTGGACCAGAGCACGCCAAGCCCTCCTGTCTTCCACTGCCTCCCGGAGTTGTGTCAAATTCATGTTGGTCTCTTCGATGACCCTGTCCATCCATCTCGTCCTCTGTCGTCCCCTTCTCCTCTTGCCTTCACACTTTCCCAACATCAGGGTCTTTTCCAGGGAGTCTTCTCTTCTCATGAGATGGCCAAAATCTTGGAGCCTCAGCTTCAGGATCTGTCCTTCCAGGGAGCACTTTACTTGCTGTACATATTTACCTAGTGCTGAGAACTACGTAAATATGTACAGCAAGTAAAGATTCTCTGGCATCACTGCTGCCAAGCTCCTGCCAGAAAAGAGGGGCATATGCTGCACATGGGTCTCAATCCTGCCTCTTCCCTCCAGCCACAAGCACAAACCAGGTGCAAAGTGAGTGAGACCAATCATGTACACCTCTGGCTCTGTTATGTGCATATGAGATTGTGGATGACATTTGTATCTTAGCTCCTGCATCCAGAATGGGAGACACGTGGCCTGCCATGATCCTAATTTAATTTAATTATCTGCCATCGAGTCAGTTCCAAATCATGGCAACCCTCCCAGGGTTTTGCAGGCATAAAGTACTGAGAAGCGGCTCCTCCTCGCAGTGCTCTTCACCCAAGTGGCAGGAGATTTCTGGTTAAAATTAAGAGAAATCTACTAAAATTGATGTTTTTCTGCCAATATCAGACATTCTGGCCACATAACACCTTTATAATACATTTTGCGATTCTGGCATGTCTAACGTTCTTAAGATTTTATGGGGGGGGGGGGAAGGGGGGGTCCCAGAGGCAGCTTGGCACCCCTGCGGCCAAATTACCTGACGGCGTAGAAGACAGACTTGGGAGTCGGGATGACGTTAAAGGGAACCGGGAGGGTCAGACCCTCCCTGAAGTAAGAGAGGTAGAGCTTCGAGCGGGCAAACTTCCACTCCACGTCCGCATCGTTCTGTGGAGCACATGAGGAGGCGGCAGAGTCAGACATTTCATGAAACCCCAGGGAACTCGTTGCCCTCACAGGCTGAGCAACCCCCCCGTCCCCCCTCCCTGCCTCCCAGGGTGAGCGGCCCCTTCCTCAAGATGGCAGCACAAGGACCGGGAGCACTACGAAACCAGCCTCTCCCAGTTGTTCAGGGACTTAGGGTCACTAGTCCTCAGGGTGTCTGAACTGGCTGTGTGCTCACTGCATGAAGAGGCTGCGGGCAGAAACAGGCAATGGGGAGACCAGCTTCACCATTAGAAGGGGACTAAGAGTTACCACTCCAGAGACGCACGTGCAAACAAAGCCTAGGGTTAACTTCCCATTGGCAGGACAATAAGACGTGATTAAATTCTGAGGGCTTTTCTGCTCCTAATCCTGAAGAAGTTGCCTTATCGTGCATCTAAGCACTCCCCCCTGGGGGGGGGGCTCACCTGCTGTGCCAGGCAAAAGACGGAGTCAGGTAACTCAACTTACAACAGGGGGGGGTTCCCCCTCACCTCAATCTTCTGGAAGGAGTTGGTGATCATGGCAATGAGCATGTTGAGGAAGACGACGACCATGACGATGGTGAAGGCCCCGTACAGCACCCTCCCCACCAGCTCAGCCAGGAAGAACTGGGGCATGTCCACCACGTCGTGCTCCTCCATTCCCAGCATCGTCCAGAAGAGGAACTGGAAGGTCTCGTTGAAGCTGCGCGTCCGACAAGGCAGGGAGGAGAAAACAGTGGTGGTCAGTCTCCCCCAAATCCCTGGGGGCTGCAGGCAATCTGAACGGCACCTCCAGGCAAAGATCACGGCCAAGACCTCTGGACAGGCCTCTCAGACCATCAATGGCTGAGCTGTCATTCTTTAACCCCTCCCGAGACAGGGAGACGTAGACATGATTTATTGGTTTATTGATTCAACCCGTATTATACCGCCCCTCTGGCTACCAAGGCCATCTAGGTACCTCATTATAGCTACCCCATCACTAGGCCCAAAAGTTCCTTAGAAGCTGAAAGCATCTGGGAGTACAGCAGGAGTTTGCCTTTCCTCTCAGAGTTTTGCCTAGTGGTTAGTCTCTCCCCCCCCCCGATTACGTACTATGTGACACACTAATGGCTTCTCCTCAGGCTTTACCGCCCTCCTGCTACCTGAAAAACCTCTTAGGAGGGAACACAGAAAGTCTGTCTGCTATGGTTAGATTGTTGTATGAAAAGTGGGAAGCCACGGGTTCAAATTCTCTCAGTCATGAGGAATCCATGTGAGTTACCTTAGGCCAGTGACCCAGCTTAATCCCATCCTTTCCAACCTGGTATCCTCCAGATGTGCCAGACTACAACACCCATAATCCCTGGTAGCCCAGCCCAAAAGGAGGGCTCCAAGCAGAAGAAGGTTGAGTCCATCTCACACAAGGTTATGGTGAGGAGAAAATGAGGGCCGGGGGGGGGCATTTCCCAGAGGGAGCCGAAGGGCTGCTCTTAGCCACGGGGGTCTCCAGGCAGCCCCCCCCCTGCATCCATGCACAGCCCCTCCCTCCTCAGATGTGCTGGGGGGGCTCCACATGGCAGCCGTGGTCTCCCCTCCCCATCTCCCATCTCCCATCCCTTGGTCTAGTGGCTCCTCTGAAGTACCTTCCCAACCGCTCCGACTCCTGGTAATGGACGTAGATGTTGTTCATCCCGCACAAGAACGCTGTCAAGATGATCATCATGATGAACATGAATCTGGAGAGGGACGGGAGCATAAGAACCTAAGAAGAAGAGCCCTGTGCTGGATCAGGCCAAGCGGCCTCTCTAGTCCAGCTTCCTGGATCTCCCAGTGGCCCCCAGCACCCAAGACAAGATTCCTGTCTCCTGATCTCTCTTCCCTTGCATCTGGCATTTTGAAGTACCCTTCTTTTAAGCCTGGAGATGATACATCCCCATCATGGCTTGTCATCTGCGGTGGACTTTTCCTCCAGGAATCTGTCCAATCCCCTTTTAAAAGCATCTAGGCCAGATGCCATCACAACATCCTGTGGCAAGGAGTTCCACAGACTAACAACCTGCTGGGTGAAGAAAAATTTTATTTTCTCTGTTCTCCCTGTCCCCTGGTTCTAGCCTTGCCTTAGAGGGGAAAGAGCTTGCCTCTCTCCACTTGATCCACCCCCTGCAGCCCTCTCCAGAAGAAGGGAAGAGCTGAAGGGAGCCCAGAAAGCATTACACACAGAAGCGGGTCCCCCTCCCCAGCCCTTGCTGTTCCCCAGAGACATGGGCAGAGGCCACGGCGGCCTCAGTCTTGCTTGCTGGGCCCCACGGGACCCTTCAGCCCCCTACTTGCGCAGGCAGCCTCCGTCTCGAGAGTCACTCCTGTCGGGAGCCTGGGAGCCGGCACACGACTGGACTGACCCGGGAGCAGGCAGTGGGCAGACCAAAGAGCCAGCCTTCCTCCCTCCCTCCCTCCCTCCTTATCACCCTAGTTCACATCGGGTGGGCAGGCAGATGGCAGCCTTTGGGGGAGGGAGAAGCCCCAGCACCCATTACCTGATCATGTCGTCAATCATTTTGCCAATGGAGATCTGCAGCGTCCCCAGGGTCTCATGCGCTGGCAGGATGTACGCCAGGCGGGTGAAGCTCAGCATGCTTGTGACGGCAAAGAGCACCTCGGCCATGAACTGGGGGTCCTCCGTGCGCCACTCTTGCCGCTCTGCAGGTCAGGAAAAGGGGTCAAGGGTCGGGGAGGATGGACCAGCAGAGCAGGCTCTGTGGGGAGAGCTGGGCCATATGGGCAGAGCAAGACCCCACACCCCGTACAAGGGGGTCCATGGAGTCCCAGGCGCTAGTCCAGTGCTCCTCACTGGACTTAACTGCCCACTGGCTGCAGGGGGGAAGTCCAGCCAAAGTAGTAATACTTGGCCATCTCATGAGAAGACTCCGGAAAAGACCCTGATGTTGGGAAAGTGTGATGGCAAGAGGAGAAGGGGACAACCGAGGATGAGATGGCTGGACAGTGTCACCGAAGCAACCAAGATGAATGTGACCCAACTCTGGGAGGCAGTGGAAGACAGGAGGGCCTGGGGTGCTCTGGTCCATGGGGTCACGAAGAGTCGGACACGACGAAACGACTAAACAACAAAATGTATCTTAGATACATAAGAGTGGTCTTAACCGACCAGATAGGCGGGATATCATTAAAATAAATAAATATTTTTAAAGGCGAGATTTCTTAGTTTGATGGTCAGGAATTTGCCTCCTTGGTGGGAAATATTAGCTACAAAAACGCCTGGAGAATGTGTGGGGAAAACCCATTTTCTCACATTTGGAAAAACAAACAGCTTTGGAGGGGAAAGAAGAAAGCAGTTTAGAGATTCTGCTATTTTATGTGATCCAACAGAGTTTCAATTTTATCTCCTCGTAGACAAGACACGCCAACAACAACAACAACACAAGTGAGTGCCAAAAAGCAACCCCAGGAAAGGCTCACCAGCTGCCGTGTAATAGTAGCATTCGGGAGAAGCCGCTCCCTCGTCCAGGCAGGAGAAGCGGCCCTTGAGGAAGACGAGCACCCGGAGCACAAAGGAAGCCAAGTACATGCTGAGGATGACGATGTCCAGGAAGTTCCACCAGTCCAGGAGGTAGCTGCGCAGGCCCTCGATCCACACCTCCTTGCACTCGAACCAGAAGAAGCCTAGGGGAGACAGGCCCCCCTCTCATAGGTGGGTACGAGGAGGAGTGCGCGGTCCCCGAAAATCACCTGGGTTTTTTCTAGTGCCTCGGCTCTGGCGTCTTCCTCCACCTTCCACCCTCCACTGCCGTTTCAGCTGTGCTCTACCCCACGCCAGAGACAGGCAGGTCTCGATTACAGTCAATTATATTACCAACTCCACTGGGCATATTCCGACCTCATTGGGCAATTTAATTAGTTTTTCATGTAACATGGGTTTTTTTATATCAAAGTTTCTCCAGTGATACATTACTTAAGTATGAAAGAGTGAAGGGAAAGAAAGCTGTGGCTGGGAGACAGAATCATCAATGAGCTGAATAATAAAATCCCTGTTTTTCAAACATTCTTGAAGGTATTTCTTTCCCTTCAAAGCTCAAAATGGGGGAAGGGGAGGAGTGGAACCATACCTGAGATTTTCATCCACATTCTTTTTTTTGTAGAGACGTGACATAAATTTAAATCACAATTTAAAAACCCTCTATTCAATATTAAGATAAAGTAATCAATGTTTCTTTGCTTATTAATAAGCAAGTTAATGTGTGACCGTTTTTAATTATCTTTCCAGTCTCCGCTCTCTGCTTGAACGAGCTCTCTTTGGCTCTGGCACCTCTGCTGATCAGCCCTCCGGCCACTTCCTCCCCCATTAAGCTTCTCCCCAAATCCTTTCTCCAGCAAGGCTCGGAGGCCCCATGAGCCCACCCCACAGACAAATCCTCATTCCATTCCTGGTGGGAGCTGGTGCAGCATAGAGAACCTGCTGTCCGATTTACAGGAGGGGGAGGTGTCTAGATATTTAAGGAGTTCTCGGAACCTGTTGTGGGTGGATGACGTTGAACAGTTCTGGGACGGACTGGAACATGGAGCCTGTGGTGCAGTGGTTAAACGGCACTACTGCAGCCCAGACTCTGCTCATCACCTGGGTTCAATCGGTTGGCTTGAGGTTCACTCAGCCATCCCTCCTTTTCAGGTCAGTAAATTGAATTCCCAGCTTGCTGGGTGGGACCCATGTATAGCCTGCGTAATTAACTCGTAAATCGCCCAGAGAGTGCTTTAAACGCTGTAGGGCGGTAGACAAGCAGCATTTTTTTGCTTTGCTTTAAAGGCTGAAGTGGATCCCCCACCCTGCTGACCAGCCTCGGTTAGGTGCCACCTACTGCCAGTCCTGCGTCCATGCCCATTTCCACTGCCGACTCTCCCTCGCCTGCCTAGGAGAGCTCTGGAGCCCTGTGGGTGCCCGTCATGCCCTTTCTGCGCGTCTTGCACACCCTGTGGTCACTGAATAAACAGGTGGAAGTGATCGGATGTGAGCTACCCCTTGCACAACAACCCAGGGAACATGGCTGGTGGCCACGGTGGCCGGGGTCATCTGGGAACTGTACCCCAAAAGAGGAAGGGTGCTCACACTTGGCGTGCTTTGGAGAATTCACGGGACGGCCTCTGTGGGTCACGGTTGCCCAAGGGAATGCAGAGGCTCTGAAATGGCCAAGATGGACATGGGAGGGTGGTGGGAAAAGCCCAGGGTGCAGCTGTCTTCCTCACGAGCAGATACCCTCCCCAGCCTCGCCACTTGCACCCCTGACCCCCCTACCTGCCACCCAGATCATGTGGAGGGAGGTCTCCCACAGGCTTTGGTTCCTTCCCTTGAAGATCTCGTGTTTATGCTCCAGGACCAGCGACTCCACCAGCAGGAAGACGAGGAACCAGACGTAGGAAGCGGCGTGCAAGAGGAACTTGATCACCGGGATCTTCAGCATTTTGCCAACCTGCCGGCAGACAAGGCCTCCTGAGAACACGTGGTGCCCCTTGTTGCACCTATTATGTCACAACGGCTGTTTGGCTTGGTCAGAAATGAACGGATCAGGGCCGGGCTGAGTCATTTTAGCCAGCCACGTGGCAACAGGCCCATGCCTCTATTTCTGCATGTGCAAATCTGCAGAGTACCCTCCCTGCATGTATCCTCCTCACACCAGAAGGGTGTCCTCTGGCTTCAGCCCTCCAGCTCCCCACCGAGCCCCCATGTAGCTGAAGAAGCACCCCTGAGGAGGGAAATCCTACAGCGACGGGGTGTGGATATGGAAATGTACATATATATGATACAGACGGGTTGTGGAGACCCGAGGACTGGCACCCATAGTGTGGACCGCTTAGGGCTTATCTAGATGGGCCCGTTGTTTTCCAAAGTCCCCTGGCTTGCTACAGATTTTATTGGTCTTTTCCTCCCCATCCGCACGGCGTTAAGACTTTCTGCGATGTGAAACGTCTGGGCGTAAATGACTCACCTTGGATTTGGGGGCAAACCAGTAGATGAGGCACAGGAAGGGCATGGCCAGAAAGATGGAGCAGGAGATGAAAACTTTCCAGAGGCTGGTGCTTCCTCGCCATCCGGGAAGTCTTCCGCACCAGATGGACGAGAGCACTTGCTGGCAGATGGGGTGGGCGACAAACTGTGCGGGGAGCAGGCGACACAGGGAGAGCCAAAGTGAGTCAGAACAAGGGGGCGCCTTGCTGGGCTCCCTCTTCCCAAGAAAGGAAGGCCAGATGCCTACGAGAGACGCAGGCGCAAGGCATGGAAGCGACAGTCTCACCCTGCCGTTTCCCCCTGCCCCTTGGTATCAAGAGAACATCCTGCCTCCGACTTTGGAGATTACAGACTAGCGGCCATCATGACCAGCAGCTTCCTCTGATTTCCCTTTAAACCCACCTGAGCTAGCGGTCTTTCCCACATCCTGTGGCAGTGAATTCCACAGGCCAGTTCTGCATTTTCTGAAGAGGGTTCAAACCTTGGAAAAGTAACTTTTTGGGGACGACCAACTGGGGTGGCAGGGAGCTGCAGGACCCATAAGGTACTTATCCAAATTGGATGGTTACCCACAAAAGCTCGCTCTGAAATAAACCTGTCCGTTTTCAAGATGCCGCCATTCTTTCCTTAATCGGACGACTCCTCCAGATTTTTTTTGGAACTCATCAAATCCATTCAAACTGCCGAAAAGTAACTTTTTGGGGACGACCAACTGGGGTGGCAGGGAGCTGCAGGACCCATAAGGTACTTATCCAAATTGGATGGTTACCCACAAAAGCTCGCTCTGAAATAAACCTGTCCGTTTTCAAGATGCCGCCATTCTTTCCTTAATCGGACGACTCCTCCAGATTTTTTTTGGAACTCATCAAATCCATTCAAACTGTCAGAGTTTTGTTTGCAACCTCGCATGCTGTCTGTGGCTTTTGTGATGGGGAGGGAGTTTTTCTGGACTGGGGTGATTGTCTCTCTGTCCAGCACTAACCACTCGTTCCTCCCAGCTTTTAATTTCAAAGAGCCCCGTCTCTCTCTCTCTCTGTGCTGAGTGTCTTTCCCCTCTCTTTAGTCTGTTGGTGGCAGTTGTTTGTTTGCTGTTGGTCTATTTGCAGCTGTGAGTAATGAAGCATTTTAATTCTTTCTCCTCCACATGTCTCAGAGTGAGTTGTTGACACTTTAAGTGCCAATTATTCAGAAAGGGACAGACTGTATATAGGGAACTTGTAGCTATTTTTCCTCTGTGGGTCTCTGTCCTTCTACTGCATGGCAACAGTAAATTTTACCAGAAATTCCGAACTCTGCAATGCCAGAGCTGTGAGTAATGAAGCATTTTAATTCTTTCTCCTCCACATGTCTCAGAGTGAGTTGTTGACACTTTAAGTGCCAATTATTCAGAAAGGGACAGACTGTATATAGGGAACTTGTAGCTATTTTTCCTCTGTGGGTCTCTGTCCTTCTACTGCATGGCAACAGTAAATTTTACCAGAAATTCCAAACTCTGCAATGCCAATGTGGCAAATTTCTTTAGAAACAAGCAAACCACTCTATGGGTCAAAATGTCAGATCACCCAGGGTTGTATGGCACGTGTGGCAACATACTTTGGTTTAGACAGCCCTCCGGGACAGGAAGCTGTTTGCAAAGCGAGCGTAGCTACGCGGTGGCCACATCTGTCAGAGACGCAGATGAGGGAGCTGTTGGTGCAGAAGGACATTGCCTCCAGTCAGGAGCAAACCACCCCGATTCTAACCTTGCTCAATCCATCTGTTAGTTCCAATGCCACGGAATACATTAATGGGAACCTGGCGACTCCTCCCTCTTGTTTAAGTCTCACTGATCCAATGGGTCTACTCCAACTGGGACTAACTCTTCCGTTTCACCCTGAATCTAAGACTCAGCCTTGGAAACAGGTACTGGGGCCCATCAGAGTCAAGGATAACTCTCACCGTGCTCTGCCTTTCTTGCGCCCAAACATTATTTGGAACGGGGGGGACACTAGTACCAGCCTGTGAGCTTTCCCTCCCAGTACGCAGACATCACAGTTCTCCGTTCCGTAGCAGCCGCCTCTTGAGACACTGCTAGGATTCTCTTTAATTCTGAAATTACTATTATGAGCTCACGTTCACGGCTTAGGTTGAGGGCGGGTGCAGAAGATTCAAGACATAAAGATCCAAGGAAATGCTGTTTTGCAACTATCTTCAGGTATCAGCTGTCGTTTAACCTCTCTCCCCCCCCCTCGCCATGGTAAATGACCTTGCAGTCCAGGAAGCCCCCCCCCCCGTCCTCCCAGCCAGCTCACCCGCTTCTGGTTGTAGTTGACGGCCAGCCGGAGCCTTGCTAAGTTGGGGATCCCTTCTTCAAAGGCCTGCTCGTCCACCTCCTCCTCCTCTTCGGCCGCAGCATCCTCCCCCATGTCGTTGAGCACGGCGGTCACCTCGCTCTGGTTGCGGCACATGCCCAGCAGCTCAAAGGCAAACTCCTGGCAGAGCTGCTCCAGGGCCAGGTACTCAGGCTGGGCAGGAGCGGGGGGGGGGAGAGAAGGAGAAGCAACCTCAGGCTTGGGGGGGATGGCATCCCAGAGAACTTTTCCCCATGTCTCGACAGCGCCTCCCCCCCCCCCAAATCCTGCTTCACTCACAGCCTGTAGCCATTTCCAGCCCTTGCCGGGGCGGTGGGGTTTTTCTCCCTGGCCAGCGATGCTGGGGGTGCAGCTGCCCAGCAACTTCTCAGCAGCCCGAGAGAGAAAACGTTTGCCACGGCTTCGTAGAGCCCGGGTTATTTGCAAACAACCAGGAAGAGGCAGCCATGGCAGTGAAGCCACATTAGAGTCGTGCACGCTTTCCAAAAACCAGACTGTCCTTTGGTCAGCCACAGCTCAAGAAAAAGGTAGATAGAAGCAGCTTCCCAGGGCCAGTGGAGAGAAAGCCCACAAAGCTGCCACCCTCACTGCTTTGGGCATAAAGGTCTCCTGTTGAGGTCTGATCTCCCTGTCCTGCCATCTTCACAGAAACATCTTAAACACGAACCATCCTGGCTAAATGAAAGCAGATCACTTTGCAACAACTCTGGGTCATCTGCCAGCTATGCAAGATCAGTTAGTTCAAAATGACTTTGCTGAACATGAGCTGCGCTTTAACCTGTTCGTTTCTCCCTCTGTCTTCCTAAGCAAGGGGTTCTTGCTTTAGAACTTACAGCCCAGATTAAGAATGAACAGCTGCCTGAGATCTGCAGGGCCCTCTCTCTGGAGACTTTAAAAAAAATCTTTTTTAGGCAGACTTCTTAATTTATGCCATTGTTCAGTGCTCCCTTTTGTGTTTAAGTTAACACCTTCAGCCATCTAGTTTATTTTAGCTTATCAGGTTTTATGCTGTCCTGCTTTGTCTTTTCTTATTGTACACCTCCCAGAGAGACCAGTGGTCAAACGGGCCATCTAGAAGACCAAAAAAATTAAACAAAAGAACAATTCAATAAATCCCAAATGTCAGGAAACTCACCTTTAAAGCATCACTCTTTGAGGCATTATATATATATATGTACTGTATATTTGCTTTCTAGACTGCCTTTCATGAAAGAGTTGGATGGATTCAAATATGAAACTAAACTATCCTGGAATTCCCAAAATTTTGCCATTCTGAAGAATAAGCAAGTGAGGCCCAAGGAGGGGACAGGTTTCCAATTTCTGCAGGAGCAGAATTATTTTGCTCGGGTGGCTGCCAAGAGGGTCAAAGAAGACCCACAGGGCTGCGATACCCCCACCCGGGACCACCCCATTCCCACCCCCAGGGGCAAGAAAGACAGACCTTGAATTCTGGCTCCTTCTTTGAGAGGCGCTTGAGTTCTCGGCTGAGCTTGAACGCCGTCAGCATGGCGTCGTCGCTGGCGATGGACAGGTGGGCCCGGCTGGCGATGCCCTTGTACGTGTTGATGCGTGAGAGCGAGAACTTGAGCAGGTCGAACTTCCGGCCATTGGAGCATTCCAAGCAGGCGCACGAGACTTTGTGCGGGCGTGAGATGTCGTGGCCCTTCTTCCTCAGCATGTCCACGATTTCGTAGAGGTCCTTCTCGCACGCCAAGGTCAGGGGGGTGACGCCAGGGGCGAAGCGCGAGTTGTCGATGGCGTTGTCGAAGAAGGCCAGCGAGAAGGACTTGGTGTCCATCTTGAGGCTTTTCTCCTGGTCCAGCCGGTCCAGGAGCATCTTGACCACGTGGGGCTGGTTGGTGTCCACGGCCACCAGCAGAGCCTCGTGGACCTGGCGGAAGTCGAACTTCACCACCCTCAGCAAAGTCTTAGTGATCTCCTCGTGGCCCGTGCGTATGGCCAGGTTGAGGGCCTCTCGCCAGGCCCGATCCTCGGCCTCGTCCAGCTGCCTCAGGATCCCGTCACTCACCTCCAGCAGCTGCTGGACCTTCACCAGGTGGCCGTCTTGGATCGCGCCGAGAAGACCCTCCGGGAACTTCAGCTTCTTGTTCACAATCTCCTTCCAGTTGGGTGGCTAAAGGATCGGATGAGAAGCAAAGCCATTATTGGCGGGTGGTTATGGTTGAGATGTCTTCATGATTAAAAGATACACGCGCAGAGCAAGAGACGCTTCGGTGAAAATATTGGGCGCTTTAGGCTAGAAGAGTCCACCAGAGATGGCTCAGCTCATGTCTGTTGAGCAGGAATAACCCTTTCAGATGCTTGTAATCAGGCAAAAAATGGGGTGGAGGGAGAGAGAATTAGATTTATGACCTCACAGAATCCATTAAGAAGGGATAGGGCAGGAAAGGGAGCCCTAAATGGACTCACAGGTGAGAGAGTTTGCACTCTGTAGAGGGGGAGAGGATGATTGGGGGAGGGAATGACTCAGGAGGTGAACTAGGCAATCAGGCTACTCACCTGGAAAGCTAATGTTTCTCTCCCGAAGCACTCTTTACCTGAAGGCGCAGGTGGGGGGGTCTCCCTGCCACCTCCTCCCGTCGGAAGCCACCCACACCTGCCTCCAGGAAAAGGTGCAGAAGGGGCCCATCTCTGGGGGAAGGAGTTAAGTTCTCTGTCTCCCCCTTCCCTTGGTCAAGGGCTTCGGAGGGAAGGGCGGACCAGCCTCCTCTACCTTTCAGAGTTTGCCCTGCGAGCGACCTCTGATGAAACACCCTTGTCCCCACAGCTGTTAAAGGGCACAGGAGCCCCGTTCCCCACTCCGCCTGGCGGCCTTGCCAATCCTTGGCCAGTCAGCTAGTTGGCGACGAGGCACTTTATTCAAGGTGAGTTCCCAGAACGCTAGCGGTACTAACTTAACGGGTGAGCTCCTTCATTCCAGCCAGCATCCCGAAAGAAGGGCTTGTTTTTTTTGGACTGAAAAGCGAGGGCGAGAAGGGGCTGGAAAGGCAAGGAGGTGAGTTGCTATTCCCCGAGCAGCAGAAAGTGGTCCCCCAGCCCCCCTGATGTAGGGCACGAACCCCAATTCTTATATAGGGAGGGGAGGAAGAAAGTCCCTTAGAGCCAGTATTATGGGTTACTTTCATGCTCCAGGGTTTTAAAACATGTTTTTGACTATTGGAATGTGCTCTGGTGTAGAGCACAATATAAATAATATTTATATCGATCCCACTCCGGAGAGGTCTATTTGGATGCCCGCCATCACACTTGACGGCTTGTCTGAGGGTCTCCCGGCCCCCAACATGATGTGGGACCTCCCGCGGCAAGGGAACGGAGAGCAGAACCCTCTTCGGTGGCCGTGTTTATCAGATCCTCCCGCTCAGAAAGGTTTTGAGCCTGGAGGCAGTGGAAAGAATGGAACCGCCCAGCCGGTTCCCTGGCCTCTCCTGGGCACGGTCTCCCCATTGCCTGCTCAGTAATTAAATCCCTGGCATTGTGGAACATCTCGCTCCCCCACACACACACACATACCCCTGGCCTCTCCTGGTTGTGTGCCATGGCGTACACAGCTGGGAAGAGTCACCTGGAGGCAGAGCAGTCCAACGCCAGGCAAAGTGGCCATCTGGGGAAGCTGCAGAGGAAGGCGGGAGGGAGGTGTGTGTGTGTGTGTTGACCTGCAAACAGCCACTCCGTAAGGCTTCAGCTGCTAATCAGCAATGACTGCGGAGATGCGCCAACCTGCCGGGGCATACACTGCAGCATCGGGCACTCTGTGGCCTCGGAAGCCTCCCTCTTTCCGAGTGCCCTGGGAGCTGCAGCAGGCACTCTGTGGCCTCGGAAGCCTCCCTCTGTCCGACTGCCCTGGGAGCTGCAGCATGGCGCAGTGTTCCTTGGCTGGAACAGATCTCAGCACAGTTCTGGCCTGCAAGAAGGCAGCTGGGGGTGTTCAGGACGTGGAAGCCCCTAGCGTCCGGCTAAGTGGAAGGTTTGCAAGCTTTGGGGCTGGACCGACTGGTGTGCTGCTCCACCGTTCCTCCTGCCTGGAGCCTGCCCTGCCCTACCCTCCCTCCGCCCCTCTGCCTCTGTCTCAGCTCCTGCCCTGCTTTTTGGTAGAAAGAGGCCATGGATCGAGAGGGGAGAAGTGAGAGGGGGAGGCATGAAGCTGTGTGGAAGGATCAGTGCAAGCCTGCAGGGTGGCACTGATATCCTCCCCCCCCCCAGTTGGGCAAGCCGGACCTTGCTGCAGGGGTCAATGGCAGAGGACATGGAAGTGTCTTGTGCCAGCAGGATGCTTCCAAAATATGGCGAGTCTGATAAGAGTGTCCAGCGTTTGAGGTCTTTAAAGAAGTAGTTTTACCAATGCCACCCACCCCTCGTGAGCTTCCTTGGCTGAGCGGGGATTCAGATGCGTGTCTCAGTCCATCACTCTTTCCAGGACACCATCTAGGGCCTGTTTTCTTCTACGTCTGGCTGTACAGACCGAAGAGGACAGTCCGAAGGCACCTCCCGCTGAGGTCAGAGTGCTGGTCCTTCTGCCGCCGCCCTGCTCAGTTCACGGCGGACCAGCAAGGGCAAGCCCCCCCCCTCAAGGGTCTCAGGGTGGGGTCTCTTCCAGCCCTCCCTGGCTCCAGGCAGGCAGGCAGGCAGTAGTCTCTCCCTCAAACACAAACCCAGCCCGACTCTGCCTGTCCTTGGCCATGGGGTGAGAGGGGGTCGTCCCCTCTGGTGACAAAACCCACCTCCCTGCAGGGGCGCCGTGACAGGCCGCGAGGTTCCCCCAAAGAAGGAGAGCGGGGCTGGGGAGGCTCCGGCCAAGGACTTACCATGACGCCATCAAGCTCGGAGGCCATCTTGCTCGACCTGAGGGGCCAGCAACTCACCGCAGCCTTGTGCCCAAAGGTGTGCCTTGCAGTGGGGGCGCAGGTTTTGCCCCCCACCAACCCCCAAGCTTGCCGGTCCCAAACCAGAAGGTCCAAGCTGGAGGGGGCCTGCGGGCCAGGGTCCTGCTTCTGCCCAAGGCGGCACGGCTTTTATCTCCACTCCTCTCCCTGGACTGGCAAGGGAGGCGCCTTGTTTTCCCCTGCCGGGGGCATTGGCAGGCAAGAGAGCAGCGGGCCCCACCTGCCCCTCCCCAAGGGGCTGGGTTGCCACATGAACGCCGCAGGCAGACAGTCCCTGGCAAGCCTTTCCCCAACATCCCCGGGGACCTCGGCTGTTTGTCACCGACAGCCTGGCTCTCCTCGGCTTCTCTCCTCTCTCTTTTGACTTCCAGCAAAGGTGAGCCACTTCTGAGGAAGACGCTCTGCCGAGAAAGCTCCGTTGTGAGCCAGAATCGAGCAGATAGCACAGAATTGTTGTTCTTATTCCCCTAGCCATTGCTGGGCCAGCACTTCCACTGAGCAAGCCTTCCCCACAGCCCCCTTCGCCAGGCAGTCCCCAGCCCCTTGGGCTCCAGTCAGCAGACACGGGGAGCCTGGCCGAGAAGGATTCTTTGGAGAACTACCACCCCAAAGGTTGAAGCCGGTGCGGCAGGGCCACCCTGTGTAGAACAGGGCCTCTGGCCTTGCAGATATGCTGGACTTCAGTTCCCAGAAACCACGGCCGTTGGCCATGCTGGGTGCGGCGTTTGGGAACAGAAGCTGGAAACAGCTGAGCAAAAATCCTGTTGCCTACACGTGTGGCAGGCAGAAATTACCTAAGAATCATGCCGTGACTCTGGCTGGCTCTCTGGCCCATGTGCCTCTTCTCACACTGGTTGTGAAGCTGGTCACATCACAGGGAGCCTGCCAGAGTGGGGTGGGTGGGATGCGGACCCCATTTCTCCTGTGCATCTCATTTAGGGAGAACCACCAAGGCCCTGGGCAACCAGGGAGACTCCAGCTGCAATACAAGATCTGCAATCTGCGGGATCTGAAGGCCTCAGGAATGGACCTCAACCGATGGGAAACCCTGACCTCTGAGCGTTCAGCCTGGAGGCAGGTGGTGCATCACGGCCTCTCCCAATTTGAAGAGACCCTTGCCCAGCAGGCCGAGGCAAAGAGGCAGTCCCGGAACCAGCAAAACCATGGAGCTGGACAGGGGACAGATTGTATTTGTCCTCAGTGGGGAAGGGATGGTCCCTCTCAAATTGGCCTTCTCAGCCACACTAGAAGCTGTTCCAAGACCTCTCTTCAGAGCGTTACCATAGGCTCTCAAGACTGAAGGATAGCTAATCTGGGCAACCAAAGGTGGAGAATCATAGCTATGGGATGCAGCTTTATGCATTCATTTTGTTTTCTGGGAAAGGCTGCTTGTCAGACACACGAGATCTACTCTGGTGTGAACAGGAAGTCCCCTTCTTGACCAAAACTCCTACCTAAGAAATATTTTGACTGTGGAACCCATGACCTCAGGGGGAGGCGGTGAGTACTCCAACGCTGGAGGCACCCAAGACAAAACTGGGCACCCCTCTGTCAGATCGGCTTCAATTGGGGTTGGCCCTCATCGGCCCACGATTCTATTTTACCCAGCGACCTCAGGGGGAGGCGGTGAGTACTCCAACGCTGGAGGCACCCAAGACAAAACTGGGCACCCCTCTGTCAGATCGGCTTCGATTGGGGTTCCTGCCCTGAGCAAGGGCCTTGGCCCTCATCGGCCCCTTCCAACCCCACGATTCTATTTTACCCAGCATCACCACCAAGAGGTGGCATCAATTTTCTCTCCCTTCCAAGCACCAGCCTTGCTCACAAGCAAAGACGGCATTTGTGAGCTCTGTAGAATCTCAAAGTGAGGGGTGCTCCCCTCCGGAGACCACACCATACCAGCGTGCAACAGCCCCCCTCCCCAGAAATCACCTCCTGATGCAGGGGAAGGAGTGAGGAATGTTCTCTTGGTGACAGGTGTGAGACTGAGCACCCCTCTCTGGGGATGCAGGTCAGGACACGCACCCGTGACACTTCCTGTTGTCAGTTTTTGTCCTCCAACTAGGCGCAGGGCCCGCTCCTCTCTGAGCTGAGTCAGCCAGCTGCTCCAGGCAGCCGCCTGCGGCCACAAAACAGCAGCCAACAACTTGTGATTTAATTTGTTTTGATGGAGCTTCTACAGGCAGAGAAAAGGGCCCTGGGAATTCTCTACCTTAGGTGACCAGATCACCTGGCTATAAATCTGGACTTGAGTGAGCCAAGGGCTTACCCCACTTGCAGCTTGCTGACACCCCACGCCACCCCACTCCCCCTTTCACTGCGTGCATTACTCTCCCTTCCCCAGCTCTGCTCAGAAATATTGTCCCGGCCCTTTCAGGCACTGGAAGACAAACCCCGAAGGAGCAAAACTCGTGAACAGATGGATAAATGAAAACGATCCATACCCAACCATTTTTCTTGAAGGCAAATTTTAGAAAATGTTTATACAGACTGTGGACTTCAAGGATCTCTTGTGAGAAGCTTTTCTGCACCCAAAACAACGCCTGGCACAGGAAAAGCCCTGAGCCAGGATACCTCCTTGTCAGGCTGCAACCAAAAAAAAAAGAGGCTACCAGGCCACATGGGAATCCAGGGCCGATGAGGGCTGCCCCCACCCCCAGTTATCTTTCTTCTTCATGTGGAGAAGGGGAGCAAAGACGGGAGGTGAACCTGGACTGTCCTTGCTGTCCTCCGCCAAGCCAAGCCAAGAGCAGAGGAAGGTCCTCTGGAGGGCAGTCTGCCCTTTGAGCCAGGGAATGGGGGTGCCGGGTAACTTGGGAAGAGGAGCCGCTTAAGCAGCCTTCCCCACCTCATGCCAGACAAATCCCTCCTCCCTGTCTCTCCCTCTCCCAGGCCCAGTCGGTGCGGGCAGAGGAGAGAGTCTGCGCCATGCATCTGCTCCCAGCACGGCATGTCCCCCTTGGGACCATCCGGTTCTGGTCCATTCCGTGTCCCAGCTGCTCAACACGAGGTGACACAGCCATGGCCAAAGGGAGCTGCTCTTTCGCCCTCCTACTCCACCCAGAGCCAGGAGGGGCCGCTCCCCGAAGGTCCAGCCTGCTCCCCACAGCTGCTGGCGTGGCTCTCCACTTCTGAGGCAGGGAAACGGAACTGGCAGATGGGGCAGTCAATCCAGGCCTCGGCAGGCTCTTCCCACCACGACAACGGAGAGGACGAAGCGTCGGCTTCACCACCCTCTTCTCCACAGCCGGAAGCGTGAGCTGCTAAGAGGCTGGTGGGGAAACAACCTATAGAAAGAGATATGCAGGATGAGGATGAGATGGACCACCAGCCTCCCACCCTCATGGTCCCCAAAGCAGGCACACCAGATCAGGAAGGAATGCCGTCACAAACACATCTGATGCTTCCTGTGTTCCTGCGATGGGCTGCCAAGTTGCTTCTGACTTAGGGGGACCCTGATAGGGTTTTCAAGGTGTATGAGAGGTTTAAGGAGTGGTCTACCGATGTCACCAGCTGAGTGGGGATTTGAACCCAGTTTTCCCAAGACCCAGTCTGAGGTCTTATCTACTGGCTCTCTTCAGTCAATTAGATTCCTTTACTTGAAGGATTGGTATGCTTCCTTTCTCAAGTGACTAACAGCATCTAAATAACAAGCTAAATCATGGTGGTACCAAGGAAGAGAACTGCAGTTAAAATGCAGAGCAAAGCACAAAGCACTCCCAAAAGAATAAAATACCCCATGTATAAGACACACACACACCCCTTTTCTAACCCAAAATTAAGAAATCTAAGTGGGGCTTAGCAAGTGTAGAGGGAAAGGGATCAAAGCACTGCAGGATCACTTTGATCCCTGCTTTCTCCCTTCATGCTAAGCCCCACAGGGCTTAGCAAAAGGAGAGGGGAAGGGACCAAAGCAATCCCATGACTGCATGATCATTTTGATCCCTTTCCCCCTTATACAGCCATGGAATTGCTTTGATCCTTTCCCCCTACATTTGCTAAGCCCCATGAGACTTAGTAAGCAGAAGGAAAAGCGAGGATCAAAGCCATACTGCAGCCCTTCGATCCATGCTTTCCTTCTGCTAAGGTTTAGCAAGTGGAGGGAAAAGCAGGGATCAAAGCCCTGCAGGATCACATTGATCTCTGCTTTCCCTTCCACTTGTTTTTTTCTCTGCTCAGCTTACTTCCATGTATAAGACAACCCTCATTTTTTAGTCTAAAGATTTTAGACAAAAGTATAGTCTTATACATGGAAAAATACAGCACACTTTAAAATAAAGAGCAGAAGTGAAAGAACCATCTGGCAAGGGGGAAATGATACAGGCCTACTCATGTCTTCTGCCTAATTGCATGGAGGGGGCTGGTCACAGGACACCCACACCTTTCCACCCTTGAATTCTCCACATTCAGCATGGATATCTGAGCGGGGTGTGTCCAAGTGCATTCAGAACACAATTTGAATCCCTCTTTCCACTTCTAAATGAAAGGCACATCTGTGGGGGGGGGGGAGGAAGTCAAGAGGTGGCATACAGTATGCAAGAAACCAAGTGCATGAACGAAAAGCATTTAAAGGCAAGCAAGCACTAGCTACAGTCCCAGATAAACGGTGGATCCCCTGACTGTACAGAGATGATCCACCTTTTCAACACCAAACCCATGGGTTTCTTTTTGCCCTGGCCTTTAGAAACCTTTGATTTTTCAAAAATTGATGAATTTGACTTGCTTTTTTACTGCTTAAATCATTTTTAGGCCTCGCGTGTGGTACTACTGTATACTCTTTCTTCTTGGCTTACAATACTGCTGCTGTTGCTGCTTTATAGTGGACACTGCCCTGGGAGCCCTGCTGCAGGACAGGCAGTTTACCCATTTTAAAACTAAAGACACGGGACGAGTTGTCCCACTCGTCCTCTGCATTGCTCTGTTAGCCATTTCCAGGCACCATGCAGTCCCTCACCAGCACAGATGGGGCATGAGCCCAGCGCCTCACTTCCTCCTTCCGGGCGGCCCTCTTCCTCCTCTCCCTTGCCTTCTTCCATACTCCCCCTCTTTCTCTTCCAGCCTTGGGCTCCGGGAGAATGACTTCTGGACCTCACAGAAGAAACTGCCACAGACCTGCAAAGAGACAGAGAAAGAAAGAGGGAGGGAGCGAGGGGAATAAAGATTCATTTAGATGTTCAGGCCTGCAGGATGGATTGAGAAAGGACAGGCCCAATAATTTTGATGGGACTTGAGTTTGCTATGACTCCTAGTTATTGATTCCAGTACAGCTATTTTGCAATTAAATTGGGATCCAATCTTTCCATGTACTAAAAGCAGGTTACAAAACGGGACAGTTCTTCGAAACTGTTACCCTTACACTTTCATCCCAAAAGTTTATGAGGCCCTTTATAACAAACGTAAAGGCACCCATCAAAAGCACAGCACAACAAAAGTAAAGTTAGAAAAGCTTATAAAACAGCGGCCACCCAGGCAATCCGAAGGGTCTCTCTCGAAGCTGAACAAAACAAGACAAGGGCCTGTCCAAGAAGCAACATTCCCAACCGCTTTTGAAACACCACTAAACCTGGCAACTATCCACGGTTCCTGGAAAGGTCTGTGTTTTGTACTAACCCAGGGAAGAGGAAGCATGGCTGTATAGAGAGAAAAAACCGCCCTCCACCCCGCCTCTTCGCTGGGCATCTCACTCATCTTTTGAGATGGGACATGATGCCTAAGGAGGACAATCAGGAGTTGAACGGGAAGGGGGGAAAAACCCAGGTGCAAGTCTTATTACCTCCTCACATTGCTACACGATCCCCTTCTTCTACTTGTTTTCATTCGATCCCTTCCTTTACCTAATTTCTGCTTGGATCCTGCAGGATAAAGCAAGACAGGCCAATGGGCACAGGGTTCAACTGTCCCAAAGGGACGAGACCAGAGAGAGAGAGAGAGATCCAGCAGGTGAAAAGGTCGTGATCACAAAGCAAGATCATCCGCCTAGCCATCACCTTTCACCCCCAAAGATCAAGCCCTTTTACTCAAGAGATCAGTACTGTAAGAAGGCCAGCATTAAAACTCACTTGGGCCAATTATTACCATTTCTTAGATTCAAACTCGGGAGGTCCTTAAGCAAGCTTTTGTTTTCTTGTTGGCTTTGTTAAAGAAAGTTGTGACGGTGGCAGCAGCCAGGATGGGTGGGGAGGTGGCTGAAGACAATGACACTGGGGGAGACGTTTCTAGAAAGAACATCTCTCTCCTTTTGCAACCACCGCCCTCCAGCCAGGAGTCGCCCTGCCCTGGGGCTAAGGCCTTTGGGATGAGGAGGCACAGTTTAAGTCAGGAAAGGGACACGGATGCCAAGGTACACTCCAGTCTACTCAATTTATTGGTCTCCTGCAAGGCAGGAGTTTTGCTGACAGCCCAGTTTACCTGACAGGATTCCTATGAACATCAGAGGATAACAATATCATGCTGTACACGGCCTCCCTCTCCTAAGCTAGCCCACCCGGATTCTTCTCCTCTTTGGGCGTTAGTGTACGTTTGCCCTGCCTATAATCATTACGAACTCGAACCGGGGATGAAACAGCTGCCGGGCCTGGAAGAGGCTGCATGCCGTAGGGCCATTTCGCCCTCTAGTGGCTGTGACCAAGCCGCACGCAAGTCCCAGGCTTCCCTTAGGGCTACCCAAAACGAACCAGAAGCTGAAATCCTGCTGCGTAGCGTAGTCAGTCGCTTTGGAGCGGGCCCTCCAAGTCAGTGGGGATTTGGTGAGCCAACCCCTTGGTAAAGTCCGCTGGCTCCAATGACTTGCTCCAGTGCATCTCCCGGTGCTAAGCAGCGGGATTTCCGCCACGGTGCAGCAGCCACACTTGTTGGGAGACCCTCCTGCTGCCCCCCGTAAGCCCCCCCCTCTCAATACTCACCTGAAGCCCGAGGGTCCTGGGTTACACGGGCTTGTCCCTCCTCTTTACATTCTGCAGCGGGAGGAGAGGAACCGACCACAGCAGGGAAGGTTCTTTTGCGGGCCGAGGCTGCCTTCAGCACCATCCGGGCCGGGCGGCTCATGCAGGCAGGGCTCCGTCCCCCGGGGCTGGAAGAAGGGTCGAGTTGCTGCAGGCGGCTCTTGAGTGCCGTTTCCTCCTGGCTGCTCCTGGAGAGAAACAGAGAGAGGGGAGGGGTTGTGCGTGCATGTGTGTGTGAAAATCTCCGTTAGAAGATAAGCCAGCCCAGTAAATCCACCACACAACAAACTTCGGGCTCTTCTCCAAAACAGTGAGCACCCCAGGTTCCTTTTTGGCCTAACCAAGTTCATGACAGTCTTCGGAAAGCTGGCATGAAGCTGCACGCTCACTGTTCCTTGCCCTCGGGGAAACACCCGCCAGTGCACACAGGGACTTACGATGGCACCTCTGGGAAGAAGGTCCGGCAGATGGCGGCGTTGGAGAGCCAGGGGCTCCTGGTTTGCTCAGGAGGTGCCTGTGGGTGACAAGGGAGGATAAGGGCCCATACTTCAGAAAGGTGCACAGCTGTTAATGTTAACAGGTGAGTAAGCAGTGGAAAACACAAATGCAGGCACAGGGGACACCTGGATTGGACCATTAAGAAAAGAAGTGAAGAGGTGGGCTTTCCTTTCCAGAGCCCAACTCACAAAGAACTCTGGCCAAACTTTTGCTTGTTATGTGTGAGAATAGCCACAGGCTGGGAGAACAGCAGCCCTGAGTTCCACATTCTCCCGATCAAAAGGGAGCCCACCAAAGGCCACAATCGGTGTGGACCATCAGGGCAGGACAACGACAGCCATTCTACTAGTCTCAGGCCTTCAAAGAGATGGTGCTTTGGAGGACCCCTGGCCCCACGCCTTGTATTTGACCAGTAAGATTCCTTCAGAAGGGAACAACAGCTGGCAGAAGGAACGTGGCTCTTGAACTGATAAGACATGGGGGCGAAGGGGGGGGGAGGTTAGACAACCTTGCCACTCCACTGAAACTCAGACTTCAAATACTGCTCTTTAGGGGTTTTTTTAAAGGAATATTTACACTGGGCACTATTCACACAAGCTGATACTTATTAAGTTAAACGTGATATGTACCTTGCCTTCATCTGAGAAAAAAATTCAGTGTATTCTGTGTAAAAACATCAACACTATAAAGCTTAAAATATGCTGAAATTATCAAGCTGAAAACTATGCCAAATAGCAATCAAACAAGAAACATTCAAACTTTGATCTACAGAGCTAAGTCCAGTTATTAGTTCCAACTCAAGCAGATCCGTGCTTGGGTAGTTACAAGAGATTTGACCTCCTAAACTGGTGTCAGGTGGGAAGATAAACCACAGTCAAAGTGGTATCACAGAGAAGCCTCTCTCTTTTCGACCTCTCTTTAGCTCCAAATATGCATCCTTTGACTCCTTCTGCTCTGAATCTTGAGCCCTATTTGCATGAAGCTGCTGGTTAACCCAACCCTGCTCTCTCCTCCCCCCTCCCCGCAAGACTTCCCAGCTCCATACCTCGCTGGGAGAAGACCGCGGGTCTGCCTTGCCGCCCTCGGCGTCTGCAGGCGTGCGGATCTGGATGAAGGCCAGGCCAAACTGGACCTGCTTGTTGAAGGGCTGGCTGCAGAAGAGCCTGATACGGTCCCATTTCTCACCCAGAGCAGAAGCCAAGAAGTCCCCTTTGGAAGCAATACAGCAGGGGTCTCAAACATGCGGCCCAGGGGCCATTTGCAGCCTGACGGATGATAGTTTGTGGCCCCCACCTTGCCTGCCACCCCTGAAGCGCCCATGCATCCTCTGCTGTCAAGAGTCAAAAAAAGCCTCCCCTCACTCGCCGGCTCTCTCCCAAGATAGCACCTCTTGCCCCCTCCATCCAGAACTGCAGTCTGCCAGCTAGCCCGCCTGTCTGCTGGCTGGCAGGCTGCACTTCCAGATGGAGGGTACAAGAGCCGGGCTAAGGAAACTCCTGGGCAGCTTCTTCAGGCCCTTGCTCCGCTTGGCAGAAAATCCGATGCGGCCCAGCCTTACCCAGATTCTGCCTCTAGCGGCCCCCAGGTCAATTGAGTTTGAGACCCCTGCAATACAGCCAGGGAGACAGTCAGCAACCAGACCACCCCAGCTGCCTCTAAGCCAAGGAGAAGAATCCTGCAAGACTCTGGCTTCAATTTCAGAGAAGTTCCCTGGAGCTACAGGCTGGGAGCCGGCGGGGCCCGAAGGCAAACGGGAAGGTCTGGAAATAGTTTAGAACTCTTACTGCAAAAAATTAAGCCTGGGGGGGGGGGCATTTCCACTATTTGGAGGCGAGGGGAGGACAACAGTGAAAAAAAAAAGGCCAGAAACCATGACGCCATGGTGCCAGAGGGAAAAGTGTATGGGCATTTTGGGAAGGCCTAGAGAATAAGGCTGGAGCCCCAGGTGGCCTGCCATTGGCCCCAGGCTCCATGGACCTGCCCCCACCCCTTGATTCCTGGCACTCGGATGCTTCACACGAGCTAATACTGCCCATTTCCCCCCTTACCTTCTTTAAACATCCGCACCCCGGAGCGATTCTTCTCCAGCTTGGCATCGGCTGGCGTCATCAAGGAGGTGGCGGGCAAGAGCGTCGGGTAACGCTGGTCTAGAGGCCACGAGGATCGCCCCACATCAATCTGAAGAAAGGCAGAGCCACAGTTCCCTGTAACCACAAGCAGAAGAGCATGTTCTGTACCACAGAGGTAATCATTGGACACACGGTCCATGCTGTTGCCTGCAGGAACTACCTTTTCTCTGGCTGTTTCGGGGGGGGGCAATTTCACAGCCCACTCACAGACACGGAGGAGGCAGGCTCCCAAGTCTGGCCTGTTTTTTTCTACCCCTTGATTCTGAAATGTAGCAAGACCCACCTGCCTGGCTCTCAAAGGTGGCATGAAGTCACACTATGTTTGGCTCTTTCTCCAAATGCTTATAGAAGGCAGGAGGAGCAACGGGGGCCCTCCGGATATCTTGGAAGCACCACTCCCATCATCCCCCACCGTTCACTACACTGACCAGGTCCAACAGCTATTAGGATTCAACAGCATGTGGAGGAGCCCCATTTCCGAGGCGAGGGGAGCTTCTCTACAGAACATGCCATCTAATCTATTTTGAATTCCTACTTGGGACCCGTTCAAGGCCCCATCTCTCCTTTAGACTCCTGAACTCCCCACAAGACTTGAGGTTTGAAGGGAGTCCTTTCCCCTTAGGACAGAAGGAACTCCTGGACTCTCTGCCCTCCCTCCCACCTGCTCACCGACATCAACGTAGCCAATTTCACTCGCTTGTTCGAGCTGCAGCTCCACTTTCAGCTGCCTGCTCCGATCACGGGGACAGCTCAGCCAGGGAAGATGGCCTTCTTCAAGAAGTAAGTTCTCCACTGGATACTTCGGATCCTGCCCCAACCGCGCACCCCCGAAAAAGAAAAAAGAATGTAAAAAAATTTGCGGAATACAGATCTCAACCTGAATGCAGAGGACTTCATAAACCTCCCTTGTGAGTTATTTTAGTTCCACCCGATAGGGTGGATAAAAATCAACATAAAAAAAAATCAAAATGATTAAATCACTATTCGAATCATGATTTAAAAATCACTTTTTAAATTGAAATTGTCAAAAAAAAAAGTCTTAAAATTTTAAACTGTGAATCGATTTGATTTAAATCAAATCCACCCTGATTCTGAATAACCTTGGGGAATTGTTTATTTTCTGTATCCACTGATTAGGGGTCCAAGTGAAGAGTCTGCCACCTTGTGGTAGAAATGGCCTATTTGGATGTTCAGGTTTCAGTCCTCTATGAATAAAAGCCAAGTTCCTAAATTCCTTAAGACTACAGAGAGAAACTTGAAAACATGCTATGTCTGTTTGGTGAGATCCCAAGAGTCAGAGGACAGACAGGATATGGCTAAGATTCTGCATCCAAGTTCTACGCTCTTTTTTCATTTATTTTACAGAACATTTATACGCCATTTCTGGCTCTAAAAATGGGCCTCAATTTTTTTATAAAAACCATCAATTCTATGACTTACAATCTGGAATGGCTTGGAAGAGGACTTGGTATGCTCATTTTAAAGCTGCTTTCAAAGTGAAGTTTATCACACAATTCTAAAGGCACTAACGTATCAGACGCTCAGAGCCCAAAACATTTCAGAAAACTCTAAATTTGGGCTTGGAATATAACATTAGGAGAGCACCGGCATTACCTGGGAAGTAAAAGAGACAACATATTTAATCTTAATTGGAGCCATCCTCAGATTGTCTATAAATCCCCATCCTATCCTCAGATTCTCCCTCGTATTATGGACTTCCCCATCATAAGTTATACCTGCAAGTGAAAGAAAAGAGATGGAGTTTATTTCCTTTTGTGTTTCTTTTCCCCAGCTTTAAAAAAAGCAATATTCCCTTGGTCGTTTGTTTAAGAGAAGCCTAACAGTATGTTTCTCTGCCCTGCTCGGTCTCCTGCCTTGTATTGTTACTCTCAAGACTGTGTAGAAACAATAAATCAATGAATCTCAGGAAAAACTTCGTCACGGTTAGAGCAGTACGACAGCGGAACCCACGACCTTGAAGGGGGGGGGCATTGACTGCTCCAACCCTGGAGGCCTTCAAGAAAAACCTGGATCATCCCCTGTCCGATTTGGATTCCTGCCTTGAGCAACAGGGGGTTGGACTGGATGGCCTCACAGGGACCCTTCCAACTTCACTTTGCTATGATTTCTATGAACCAAGGAATCAGGGGAAAGAAGACCGGAGAAGAGTCTAGTGGTGCACTGAGAGATTTTTCTCGTTCGGAATGTGGTGCTGGAGGAAAGAGCCTCGTGGACACCCTGGACTGCCGGAAAGACAAACCAGCGGGTCCCAGAACAGGCCAAGCCTGAACTCTCCCCTGGAAGCAATAAAGGACGAAACGGAGGCCGTCCTGCTTTTGGGGTGCTTTCAAATGCACCCCTCCCCCGCTCCCGCACCGCTTCTGGCACTACAAACCCCATCATCCCTGGCGGGGGAAGGGCGACTCAAACCCCTCGGGAAAGGCACCCCCCCCGGTTGGTCTCGAGGGAGAAGGGTGGGGGGTGGGCGGAGGAAGAGATATCCCCCCCCCGGGAAACCCAAACCCGGGCGCCTTCCGCGTACGACAAAGCCCATCACCCACAGCGCGGCGATGGGGGTGTCCCTGCACGGCATAGCCCATAGTTTCTCTGAGTTACTTAAGCCCCTTCGCCACGACAAGGCAGCAATCCATCAAGGTAGAGCACCGGCATTACCGGCTTGGCTCTCCCCTCAGAAACAACCGCCGCGGCGACGGCGCCTCAGCTTTCTCAATCTCCCGCCAAAACCGCCCCTTGACTCTTGACCCCTTCCGCTGATAGGCTGCCTCTCGGCCCCTCCCCTCCGCCGTAAGCCCTTGGGAGGAACTCCGCGCGGGGCATGCCGGGAGCTGTAGTCCTTCCGCTCCCCTCGCCTTCCAGCCTCAGAGCCTGGACACGTCCTAAGGGGGCGGGGCGAGGGGGAACACCCTTAGGGAGCGTCCATCAAGTACCTCTTCGGGCAGGAGGCGCAAACGAGAATGCCTCTTTTTCCTTCCAGTCATGCCGCCGCTCCGGCCCCAACTCGGCCTCTTTAAGTTCGGCGGCGGTGAAAACCGTCCCGCCTTACCTCGCTGGCCCCGCCCGCCTTTGCGTCTGAGGGCGAAGTCGGCACCTGTCAGACGCTCCCTCGCCCGCCGGCCGCTCGGCCCCGCCCCCTCTCTCTTCCCCGCGGGGCACCTCTGATTGGCGGAGCGGAAGCCGGCGGCGGGCGCCGATTGGCGGGGGGCGGCGGGAGCCAAG